AGAGCATCAATATCAATTCTAATATGTCGGCCCCTGCCAGCACAGTTTTAGGCTAAAGTCACCTGAACGAAATTTGCTGAACCATTGTTGACACTTATGAACTATCAAAACATTTCCATAAACTTCTTTGATATTCTTCGTGGCTACAGAGGCATTGTTTCCCTTCTTGTATTCAAATAGCATTACATGCCAAATGTGTGTCTTGTCGTGTGCCATCACTATAAGGGATTAAAGCATACTAAACTTTACACATTATACAGGCTACACTAATGTGACATTTAGGTAGTTCGTTTAACTATTATATGTGATGTACGTTTTTCGGGGGGTGGTTAATGAAAGTGTTCCAAAACGTGACATTAATTTCTTGACAACCTAATACGTCCAACGTACAACAGGGTGAAATGCAGGTAAAAGGTAAGATGCTTGATCAGAATGAAGACATCAGGAATTACAGAAAGAAGGAGACAAGGAATATAAAGAAAACAATTGAATTAGAAGCTGAATCTAATTGGTAAGGGAAGAAGGAAAAAGTCACGAACAGAGGAGTGGCGCTAAAGAGCAAAACTGTAGGAAAGGGAACGAACAGGAAGAAGCCTTGAAGGCAATTAAGCAACCAAGAGCATGCACAAAACATCGAATGCCATCCAGATCCAACTGGGAATAAAGATTGAAGATGGAAGGAAATGAAAAAAGAAGAACATGCCACATGAGTTGCCAAAGTGTGGGTTAGGAAAATTTATCCAGAACAAAAAGAACAGATCAACCTGAAGCAGCCAAGAAAACCAGATCTGTGGCAGCCAGGAAGGAGCAATCAGGAAGACCTGACATGGAATGGCATGGATGAATGAAATCACATGGGGTAGATGAGGGATGGGATGATAAAATACAGGTATAAGCCAGTCCCAATCTTGTCTAAGTGCATAGACAGCCAGGGCAAGTGGATGAGGAACTTGATACTAAAAAAAATAGGTAACTTAAAATTGAAGAAAGAGACAAATGAATCCCACTGAGTAGTACCCCAATGTAGTCAGAACCACCTGAAATTTTTGAGGATCAAGAGACCCCCTCTGTGGGATAAAGTGTGTCAAGATTGAAAAGGCAATGGGGTCAAAAGCATCTAGAACATGACATGCTAGGATAACATAAATCAAGTGTGTGAGCCCAAAATATGAGATCCAAGGTTGACCACCAATGTAACTAGAATGGGTATCCACTTGGTGAGTGATATAAGCCACCACCGTCAAATTGTCAGAATGGATAATGATTAGTCGAGTCCTGACAAGAGGAAGAAAGTGAATCAAAGCATGTTGTACTGGTGGAAGTTCCAGGGTATTAACATAGTAAGACCTTTTGGCTGTATAACATTGTCCTGAAGCCTCATGCTGATCGACCCACACACCCCCTAACCTTGGAGGTAACCATCAGGGAAGGGAAACAAATCTGGAATAGGGGGAAGAAGCAGTCTTGACAATGTGGGGGCTTTGTTCAACTACCAGTGCATATTGTTGAAGAGGGAAGGAGGAAAGTTATGAGGGGAATCCAAAGTAACCCTATTAAGATTCCATGTGTTGTGCAGCATCCCCTGAAGAGATTGCATATGTGCCAGACCCAAGGGGATAAGTGCTTCCATAGAAGCTACATCCCCCAATGTGACAGAACCTTGCTGACGATAAGATAGTTAACAGTAATGGCGTGGAAAACTGAAAGCTTCATCAAAAGCAGTCAAAGAGGAAAAGGGTGAGCTGACAGAGTTAGGTGTTGAAAAAAAGACACCCCCAAAAGACAAGAATGTAAGGTGAGTAATGGGAAAGACTTCTCCAACTAGAAATTCCAACCACTCAAGCTGCATGGGTAAGAATTAGATGAGAATGTTGTGACAATTCCAGCACAGAATGAGCTAACAAAAGCCAGTCTACCAAGTTATGGTGTAAGTACAAAACCCCATCATACTTGAGTCAGGTAAAACTGACCACCATGCAAAAAAACTGATGGATCTGAAACAAGGTTGAAGGGTAAGGCACAAAACTGGTACCCAACTCTGTGGTGAGCAAATCTAAGATAGCATCACGAGGGATTAAAAATAGGAATGTGTGTATAGGAATATGAAACATCTACCTTAGGCATCCTCAGTCCTGGAGAAATGGCCCACCAGTGTGTGATAAACAACAACATAGTAAAATGGGAAAGAACCAAGAAGTGATTGAGGAGGGACAGATCAATCACAGAACTCCAATCAGCATTGAGAATAGATGACTACTGGAGGAAGCTTTAGAGGTAGGACAGGTAAATGATTGGAAGGTGCTGGACATGGAACATGAATAAAGAATGCAATGGCTCATAATGAGACAAATGAGCAACCAAAAAACAAAAATTTAATGAAGCATCACAGATACCCTACATGATGCTAAATTCACAAGAGTACACTCCCCAAAAAAAAACATATCGATGGAGAATAAGAGCCAGCCGCAAGTACAAAGTAGAAGTGGACAGTAAACAAACTTGATGAAGATAGTGCCCCACCCCAAAAGATCCCCAAAGCAAAGAAGCCATGTGTATAGGGAAATAGCCACAGATGGCAATCACTTCAACGTGAATGTAAGAAGGGGGAAGGAGATGTACAGCAAACAATTCCTGTAGGAAAGTTGATAGAGGAAGACGAAAGCTGGAAAGCCCCCGTAAAGGCAACAGAGATTCTAAGTGCAGAGAATCAAAAAACAATCTGCCTGATGGTAAACTAAGGTAAAATGAACCAAACCTGTGGAGGGCAAGGCATACAAGCACCTTCTCTCAAAAGAGAAACAAAAGGAGCCAGCATGAACCATAATGTCTGGAGAAGGAGTACAAAAAAATTGCTGTGAAATGTGTCTAAAAAGGACTGAGGTAGGCCTAGCAAATTCTGCAGAGAGGTCTGGAAAACCAAGGCATAATCAGTTGGAGAAAAAATGTCAAAATCTACATCTTCTGGAACAGGTTCAGAAGTTTTGGGAGGAAGGTGAGCAATATTGGGAGATTGTTTGGTGTACCCCAGCCCTATGGCTCCTCACAAATCACATTAATTATAAGAAGTAGAAAACACAAATAATTACAAAATTAAATTGTATTTATATTGTAAAAATGTATTAACAATAAAACATTTATTAGAAAGTATTTATTGAAAAAAACATTGGTAATTGTCATTGGTAATAGTGTAGGCCCATACCTTTCAAGAATTTAAGAAAAATAAATGATGGATTTAAATTTTACTTTTTTCTCAGGGAGGGCTGTGTGTGTATTTGGAAGGACAGTCTTGAACAAAATGGTCCCTTGTTGTTCATAATGTTATGTTGAAAGCACATTAAAATCAAATATTAAATATGAGACTAATTATAACTTATAATAGCTACTAAAATGTTGCTTATGATAAATAACATCATAAAAAGTTACCTTTTAATAGCAACCTTCTCTCCAGTGTCTAGTCGCTGACCTAAGACAACACTTCCGTAAGTACCATCACCCAGTTGACTAAGTGTAACATAGCGATTCATCCCAGACACTGTACCTGGTGATGGAGGTGCTAAATTAACTGGTTGTTGGGCAACAATCATTTGAAAGAATTATAAAGCAAGGTGTGATTCAACATACATGTATATCCATAAACTCACAACTGGGACACCTGAAACAAAGTTTAAAAATGATGTAGTTTTCATGTAAAACCTTTTCTGTAATACCTGTAACAACTATATTTAGTTAATAAAATAAACTAGAAGTTATTAGTAAGGAAGACAATGAATTAAATGAGACAGTTTAAAGATGGAATCCTAACACCCCTGAATAACACAGGCAATAATACTTTACCTTCAGATAACAGTTTAAATGGTAATTTTTGCAGAAATTGAAATAAATTAAATCATGTCTACAAAAAAATAAAAAGATATAATGACAAAACATATGACATATGGACAATAAGTGACCATTTGGTTCTTCAAAGCTGGTCTTACACACACATCCTTAAGAAATCAAAAATTTAAAGCCCACTCTTAATTCTTGTAAAGTGCTGGCCTCCACTACTGTTACTGACAACTCATTCCATAAGCCAATCATGCTGTTATAAAAAGATGACTGTCCGAAATTAAACCTAGCCTGTTTTTTTCCACATCTGAAACATGTGCCCTCTTGTCCTTTTGTCTTCAGAATACGGTACAAATAAATCAGAAGCCTTTATCCCATCAATCTCCCATATAATCTTCTAAAGGTGGCTTTTGAGAGCAATGAACACAATGTTTTTAAACTCAGAGACAGGGAAATCAGAAATACTTGTAGTCATGGGCAGATAAGGCCTGTCTCCCAAACGCAAATGAAATCCTCCTGATTTCCATGTAATTTTACTTCACTTACCTTAATGTGAAATTGTAATATTTTTATTCTTACCCTTCTCTTGGTTTCCTGTTCTGCATTTCATAATCCTTACTTTGATGTTAATGCAGAACTAAGATGTGAAAAAAGAAAAAGTGTGAACAGGTGCCATCCACAGGAGCAATGCCTCCAAGAAAGGGACAAGAGAAGAAAGGGAACAGACTGTAAAACCCTATTAATAATGGAAAGGAAAGCAAACAGCAGTGTCATACCAAATACTAACCCCAAAGAAAAGAAGCCATGTGAGGAGAGAATGAACTGAAGATAGAAAAACCCAACGTGGAGAGAAGAACGAGGAGGTGTCCCTCATCAAATCCAAAATGTAAACAGAACACTGAATAAAGGGAAATATGAGACATTAAAGATATGGGCAATGATGGGGGGGGGGGGATGACAAATGTCGGAAGAAATCGGAATGAAGTTAATCCTATGGTAAAAATTGAAAGCCTGTACTCTAGAAAGTAAGGCTTGTAAGTACCCAAACCCAAAATAGACAAAAGGAACAGCACAAAAAACATGAAGATAATATTCTACAAAACATGTCTGAAAATGTGTAAAATAAGTATAGCAGGGAGAACTGACAATTTTAGGATATTGGAAAATGGGTTCAGCCATGATATGGGGAAGATGAGAGATAGTGAAAGCAGATATGACAGACCCTGGCTCCTAGGGACCAACACATGAATTTAAATTACTGATACAAAGGAAAAACTATAAACGAAACAAAATTAATGGTAAGAAGTATAAAGTAGATATTAAAATAATGTAACTGTAAAAGCATAAACTATAAAGAAAAACAAAATGAAATAGTCAACATAGTAAAGAACAGGAAGAAAATGATGTAAGGAATGCATCCCATATGATGTTGAGTTGAAGAAAAATCTGGAACTGTGGTAGATATGAACCTGTCCATAACACCACGGGAAACCAATAAATTAATTAATGGTAAGAAGGTTAAATTATAAACTAAATGAAATTAGTAATAAAAAGGATAATGTATAAACTAAATGAAATGAATGATAATAATTATAAAGTAGGGATGAAACGAAAGTAGCTGGAAAGGATAAACTATAAAGAAAAATAAAATGAATTAGTCAACATATTAAAATGGGAAGAAAATGGTGTAGGGAATGAACTCTGTATGAAGTAGTAGTGACGAAAAATTGGAACCTAAGTAGATATTAACCTGTCAATAAAACCACGGGTAAACCAATATATAATACCGTAATGAAGCCGATTCCAACAAGATAGTGAACAGAAATAACAAGGAAATCTAAACTTGAACTACAGTGAAATCAAAAAGAACGAAAAGTAGTTAGGCCTAATCGAATGGTACATAACAAAGGATATCCTAAGAATAAAAAGAAAAATGAAACTCAACAATTAATAGGCACAATACTGGAAAAAGTCTTTGTGGGGCCTGATTCAAGGGTTCCACCCAAGCCAAGTGAAGAAAAAGATTATTAACAAAATGAAATAGAAATGAAACATGAAACAGTAAAGAATGACAAAAAAAAATGTCCAAGTTCAAGCACTACCAAATGAGAAGTGACAGTTCAGTAGAGGCTCATAGAGGGAGTCACATGCATCATGCGAGTGTACTTTTCTCCTACTGGTGGAGAAGAGACACATGATGATTTGCATGAGAAACATTGGAATCATTTGATTCCAATAGGAGGGTGCAGAAGGCTTGTGGCATGCATAATAAAAAGTTCACATATAGAGGGCAGCAATGAACGAGTATAGCTAATCTTGTGAGCGGAGAAGGAAACAGGCTGTCCAAATCCTCATCACCGTGTTCAAGCAAACCCTCACACAGCACAAGAGGACAATCATCAGGTGCTCAGAAGCCACATAAAAGTAGCCAACTCCCTATGATCTAGAGCCATTATTTTCTGAGCAGATAAAGCTTGCTTAGTTACCACTGAAGTGGTAAGCAAAGCAGCTGTGGTAGTTACAACATCTACAGTATTTTACCTCCAAAAAGAATTCTCAAAAGCATAAAAAATTCAAAAAGATTATAACAAAGAATAAGAATTTTTGTGGCCAAACAATTTTATACTGTAACTTGAAGAAATAAGTGAAAAATTTGAAATTAAAAATAATAGGACCACCAATTGAGAAGTGATTAAGGGTTGCACAGAAGAGAGACACTAGCAATGACATGAGTTGTGTTGCACTCCTATTGGTGGAGGGTTGCTACATGATCGATAGCATGAAGATGTTTCATGTGAGGTTAGGTGGAAGTATCAAGACTAGTAGTGAGTAAAAGTTTGTGCTTATAAAGGGTAATATAAGTTGAGAAAAGGTATTTGTGAGAGGAGGTAAGATTTGTATCAGAAACTGTTCATAACAGGGCTTACTAGGATGATATCTGGGATATGAAGGCTGGCGTACAAAAACACGTAAAAGTTTTAGCAGGATAGATGTCTTCTTCATCTAAACAATTTTATTTTTCAAGAAAGGATGGTTAAACTTTGAAATGGGTTGACTTCAGATGTGGTTGATCCAAAAAGTTTAAGGGAAGGCTTTGTAAATATTTAAATGATAAGAACTGGCTTTCAGGGTATTTATGTTATTTTTATTACTATATATCTATATATTTATTACTACATATATATTGTCTTATGTTTAGTTTAATTTATTGGATGAGAAAAACCTGACCGACCAACAGCCCCCCTGGCTGTCCATAAATGTTATGTTACATTATGTAATACCACCTTATCGTACAATAATACTTGCACTCAGATGCCTCCCCCCCCCCCCCACCCCCCCACACACACACACTTCCACATTGTAAGACAAGATGAAAAAAGTTTAAGACCTGGAGAAAGACAGGCTAGGCTCCAGTTAAGATAGCTTTATTTTTCTATTATGGTGTTTTTCTTATTGAATCAACAGGAATTGGCAGTAGTGGAGGCCAGCACTTTAAAGTAATTTATAATGGGAACCAATGGTTTCTTTAAAATGAAAGGTTAGGTTTAAATTTTCTCTTTTCTCAAAGGTAGGTATGCAAGCTAGTTATCTGCATATTATATATTTTAACAATACTGTGAAAATAATCTTTGTATAAGTTTACACATTTATAGCAAGTGTATTCAAAACATTCTTAATATGCATTGACAAGTCACTTCTATGCATATTGATTCAATGACAGTTACTTTAGATTTTGTATGCTAAGGTCTATAAATTACAGCAATCAGATAACTTAAAAACATTCATATAAGTATATTGATAATTACATTGAACTAGGCCTATGAAAGAGAACTTCCTAAGCTTTTGTGAGCTAGCATTTTATTCTATGTATGCACAAATAATAATTCAAAATTTAAATGCCAGCGATATAAATTTTAATCTACTCAAAGTAACAAATAACACTCCATCATTTGTTTAAATATATGTTTTTATGTTAAGCTAATTTAGTCTAACAACTAGACTACATAATGTTTTATCATTGGGACATTCACATACTTAGTTCCTCAGAGTCTAGCAGTAGCAACTTTGTTTACAATATCTGGCCTCATCTTCCAGTGCCCATTAGTGTTGGACTAATATGCGTTCTCACTGTATACACTGGTTATGTCATCAATTTAAGTTACAAATAATATCACATCCTTCATAACATTTATCACTCAACATTCCACTCCGCACTTTATACTTCTATGCACTATAATGCTACCATATCCACATACATACACTTAAAAATATTTTATTTTTCTCTAGTATAATTTTTCCACCCACACTGTAAAAGTAATGATAAAAATTGAGAACGTATCTGTAGTTTGATGTCTTAACCAATATGTGTTGTGAGAAATCATCCTTCAGGTCATAACAGGCATTGGAGAAAAAGACCAGATGATGAAAGTTCAAAATTATCTATGGGGTTTGGAGTCCATTTTGATTCACCATATAGTAATTAATTTAGGTTTGTGAATAATGATGTCACATATTCTATATTAAATTTCATCTCTGGTGAAAAAGAATTATTTTAACAATAACATATATATATATATGTGTGTGTGTGTGTGTATTGTCAGGATTTGGGGTGAGTAATGTCCAAAGAAATCTTACACTCACTAACTCAGTAACTGTTTGGCCTCTAACTAAAAGCAGACTGGCTGCGATAACATTTATATAGTATATCATAGTTGGTGTAAAATATGAAGCATAAACAAAAGGGCTTAAATTCAAGTGTAAATGCAACTGTCAAACGAATGAGCTTTGACTTACTTGGTATTAATATTATCACTGAGTAACGTTAACCGCTAAGTAGACTAAGACTTTTAGTAAAAGTCAGTAACTAAGTAAGAAGTCTTACTCTTAGTGAATTAAATCTAAAACAAAATTCTAAAACTAAAAGCACATTTGATTCTTACCATGAACATGCCTTAAAAATATGTATATAGTTTTAAGACAACCTGCATATCATCACAAACAAATTCGCTAAATTTAACTTAATAATGTTTAAACATGAATAACTACGCTAAGGCCTTATTTCAACCATAGCAACGAAGCATATTTTTATTTGTTTACAGAGTTCTCAAAGTTATTATTACAAAATATTTGGTCAATAGGTGACGCTTTATAAATATATATATAACATATTACTTAATATATATATAATAATAATACCAACAATCTTGCTCTTTTTTATTTAACTATAAGTGTTATTTTCTTAACCTTGTAAATAATACAGGTAATAAAGCATAGTTTAACTACTGCAAAATGATTAAGAACATATCTAACATAAATCTAAAGCCAAAAACACTTCATAAAATCAGTGTGGTTATGTTTAACCAAAATAGAAATAAACAGTTTCTGGTAAAATACTAATATTTTTTCACAATAAATCATTTCTTAAAACCGCAATCACTATGGGGCTTATAGAGAATGCACAGTTAAGAAATTAGTGTTGTTCTTGATAATGTACTGTTTCGTATCTGCTTGTTTGATAATTTCCGGTAAAAATTCTTTCGGGGAAACTTCAGCGATACAAGTCCCTTCTTGATTAAAACTAGTTTATTCTTTCTCGATACAACTTTTTGTAATACACAGAATTTTCACAGTCACTTTAAACTTAACAACCTTTATAACACACGCTATAAATCGCAGTGATTCACACACTTTACTTACGGTGTCTACTGTTCGCTTGACTCACTTATCTATCTCTATAATCAATCTATCTGCATATCACTTCTATCGCTGGCTTTATTTTCCAGGCTTATATACTAAAAAAAAGAAAAAAAAGAGGGCGCCTGGGAAACATTCGGACTTTCGCGTGGTTCCTCGATAAGTCATGATCCTTCTAGAAACTCCAGCGCGCTTGCTACCAGCGTCGCGTGACTTACGCTGTCGTAACACTGCCCCTTCCTTAGTATTATTCGTCCCGAACAATAGCCACTTACATTAAACCAATAGATAATTAACAATGACTTAATTAAATGTACAGAATTACAATCACAAAATTGAAATACAACATAGTCTCTCAATTTTACAGGACGTATCTGATCTCTGTTTCATTGGCTTCTGCTTCACGTGGGGTTCAACCCCTCCATAAGGAAATGTCCCATTATTGGTAACAGTCACATCAGTGGTAGTAACTTCATTAACGACTTCACTGTTTTCCTTCTCCAAACCGAGTAGAGTTTCTTCCTCGACAGTGGCTTTTTCAGGTGACATGTCTCCAGCAGCGTCACTTGTTCCGTTGTTCACTTCATTCCAACTGAAATGTCCTGAACCGTGATAACGCCAAAGCCTTTTGGCATGAACCATCTTCGGCTTACCTCGCCGACCACATTTTATTCAAAAAGTAAAGTCTGAGAGACGATTCACTATGTCATATGTGCCTTCCCATGAAAAAGACAACTTAGGAGACTTCCCTTTGGTCTTCCTGGGATTATATAACCACACCTGTCTCCTGGTACAAAGCTGACTTCAGTAGATCTCTTAACATAACATAGCTTCGTGGAATCAGCAGACATTTTCAAGTTTGAATGCACTTGATGATGAATATCATCCATCCTTTCAGATAACACTTTTACGAACTCTGGCACATTTTCAGGCAACTCTTCATAAGGTGGGCGTCCTGTTATCAGGTCCACTGGCAACCAAAGTTCCCGACCAAACATCAGTTTTGCTGGAGTGTATCCAGTGGTTTCATGCTCTGCTGTTCTATAAACCATCAACAGTGGAGGGAGTAAGACATCCAAGTCATCTTGGCAGCTATTACAAAACTTTGCCAATTCCTGTTTCAGTGTCCAGTTGTACGTTTCTACCATCCCATCAGACGGTGAGTGAAGTGGCGTTGTCACGGTCTTTCGTATGCCAAACAACTTGCAACATTCATGGAACACAGTTGATTCAAAGTTACGGCCTTGATCTAAATGCAGTTCGTATGGCATACCAAGTCTGACGAACAAATCATTAATAGCCGAAGCTACAGTTGTAGCTTCCTGATTTGGTATTGCATATGCCTCAGGGCATTTGGTGAAATAATCCATCACCACATAAATGTACCTGTTTCCAGCATGAGTTCGAGGCAATGGACCAGCAATGTCAACGGCAACTCTTTCCATTGGTGCACCAACTTGATATAACTTCATTGGAGCACGTCCCTTATAGTTGGGTCCCCTTTTAGCACAACATGTACTGCATGTTCTGCACCATTCTTCCACATCTTGCCTCATACCTATCCAGTAAAATCTATGTCGTAGGTGACTCAATGTCTTCTTAATTCCAAGATATCCTCCTGTTAAACTATTATGGAATTAACGCAGCACAACTTCCCGTAACTTTCTCGGTATAACTGTTTGCCAGGTCGTTACTTTCCCATCTGCAATTTCCCATCTCCGGACAAGAATACCATCTTCAAGCTTCAACTGGTTCAATTGTGCCCAATAGTTCTTTGTCACAGGGCTTAAGCTAGACACCTTCTACAAAGCAGGGTGCAAAACACTTGCTTTTATAAAATCAATTATTGGCTTCAAATCTTGGTCTTTCTCCTACTCTGATTTAATATTCATACTGGTTCCACTTCACCATCATCAACTCCTTCAGTCACTTTAACTTTAGCTTGATGCCACCTAGTTAGTTCAAATTCTGTTTTGCAGCAATGTCTAAAGTAATTTTTGCAGGGTCTTCGTATCAGTCCATCGGCATTTCCCTGAGATTTTCCTTCTCTATATTCAATATCATAATTATATTGGTCTATCTTTCCGATCCAATGTGCCAGTTGTCCCTCTGGGTTCTTTAATGATCTTAACCAGCGCAACGCGGCATGGTCTGTCCTGATGGTAAACCTCGCACCATAGAGGTAAGGACGGAAATATGTCAGACTGTTTACAATAGCAAGGAGTTCTCTCCGTGTTACACAGTAGTTCCTCTCTGGTCGACTCAGGACCCTACTGAAGTGGGCCACCACATGTTCGTTTTCGCCCACTTTATGAGACAACACTCCTCCAATTTTGACATTACTAGCATCACAATCCAGTATGTACAGCAGTGAGGGACTTGTAAGTTTTAAAAGTGGAGCCGAGGCCAATTTTTCTTTCAATGTCTTAAAAGCATGCTGGCAAGAAACTGTTCATTTGAACTTCTGGCCTTTTTTTCTTATATTATGTAGTGGAGCAGTTATAGTTACAAAGTCCTTCACAAACTTCCAGTAATAGGTACAGAGTCCCGAAAACTTCTTAACTCTCCCACATTGTCTGGTGTTGGCCAATCACGCACTGCTTTCACCTTGTCAGGATAAGTTTGCAAAGCATTCTCACTTACAATGTGACCTAAGTAAAGCACCTCTTTCTGAAACAAGTGGCATTTCTTGTGATGGAGTTTGAGGTTTGCTGCTTTCAAACGCTTGAACACTTCCTCTAGCCGTGACATTTCCTCATCAAAATTTGTTGCAAATACAATGACATCGTCCAGGTACACTAGGGCTATCCTCCATTTTAGGCCT